TTGATAAATACTTACAAAAATTCACGAGTTTAAAAATTGTTATTTAATATATGTCAGATAATTGTAGTTTAATATTTTTTTTCTTTTCAAAAAAGTTTATAATTGTCGCTGACTGAAGCATTATCAATGATAATTAATAGAATAATTAACATTAAAATCGAGATCTAGGCACTGTTAAAAATATAATTTAACTGTATAAAATTTTCAAAAAGTATATAATATACATTAGAATTATTGAAAAATGAAAACATTCATCTAAAAAATCATACAAGAAAATATAAAATCTAGACGAGAGAAAAAATTTTTTATTTATAAAAATATAATTTCAACACATAAGTTTATTCCTTGAGGGTGATTTGTTCTTCCTTTTGATCATCAAGCTGTAGATTGATACCATTTGAGTTTAATATCTCTAATGATATATTTCGTCTTCGTTATCTAGAATCCAACATCCCTTTAGGATGCTCTCTATTCATTATAAACCTATCTCGTGCCAAATAGCATATCAATAGCCTTGATGTGGGTCAAGAATTAGCACATACTCACTTATCTGATGGGTTCTGTTACATGTAAAATAAAGTTAGATGAGATTTCTTATAAAACTATATAATTTTTTCTCTTTCTTACAATTAATTAAGTAGATTTCGAGAAAAATCAAAACGAAAATAAGCACGTAAACCAATTGCTCTATTTTTTTTAACTTTTGAGACGATCTAAAAAAATGATTTTTTAAAAAAGTTTTTTATATAAAAACTTTAAAAGATTCGTGATATTTTTAAATAAAAATTCCTTATGAAATTTCTTTCTTTTATTATTATAATCAATTGAGAATCATTTTTTATATCTGCTTTCAATATCTTTAGGTTATATTCAACTTAAATCACTTTATTTTTAATTCAAATCGTTTAATAATATATATAAAATAATTTTTATTTGGTAGTAAACAATGTTATCATTATAATATGTATTTATCAATCTAATAAACATTGATGAAAAGCTTCATAATTAGAATTTCTTGCTTACTTTTTGCATAATTTATTTTTTCTTATTAAACGAGTTTAATAAAAAAATTTTAATATTTGAATAATTANCATAAATAAATTAGATAAATATGATTTTATAAAATTTAAAACATTTTATAATTTATAAATTATAGGGTTTATTAAGATAAACTCTGAATTGAGCTATCAGTTACCCAACAGATTTTTGTTCCCAGGATCAAATAACATAGCCTGAAAATTTTCCTCATTACATCTAACAGATGAGCGACCGGAAATATTTCCAAAAATAAAAAAATAAAATAAAAAAATACTCGTTACTGCAATAATACTCATTACTTTCGCTTTTGGCTTTGTTAAATTTCTCACAAGAAGACCTACAGCTAAGCTAACGCATTGGTAATCATCGTTTGTTAGGAGCACATTCCTTGACGTAGTTACGTCAATCTTCCTGCAAGACTTTCCATCAAAAATTATATACGCTACTGACAATTTTGGCAAGGTAAATGCTGACAATTGTCAATTAAAGAAAGTGATTGAATACATGCCACAAAGAACTATCTTTGGGTTAAATTAGTTTTGGTGGAAAAAAATAAATAAAAAAAAAGAAGAAGAACATTGAAGAGATGCAGACGACCTGACTTGAAAATATAGTTGTAAACAGCCATTGGTAGATCTTATCAATGATTTATTTATCATGGCAAACTCTAAGGAGAAAAATTAAATAAATTTTTGTACTTTTTGATTTTTAATTTAAGGACCTGACTTGAAAATATAGTTGTAAACAGCCATTGGTAGATCTTATCAATGATTTATTTATCATGGCAAACTCTAAGGAAAAAAATTAAATAAATTTTTGTACAGTATATAGTATATTTTCATAAAGCAATATTCAACTTGTGTGGGTCCACCTTGCCGCATTTCCGATGAATTTGCGCATGTTGGATAACCAGTGGCGGACTGGACAGGGTGTCAGCTTGCCCGATGGCAAGTGTTCCCCCTTAAACAATATACAAGATGTTAAAAATGTTAATGACTTTTTATTATCTTAAAAATATAATAACAAAAAAACAAGGCATTAAAGCATATAATAATAATAATAATAATAATAATAATAATAAAACGACAAATTGTTTTAATTTAAATTCATTTATTAAAAGAAAAACAAATGAACAATCGGATTTAGAGACAATGGACCAAAAATTCATCTTGGTATAATGGAAAACTCCAAGTAGCCTACATATTTTATGTTTGCTAAGATTACAATACTCAGATACTATAGAAAAGCACAATTTCATTGATCAGGTAGACAAGAATTGATGTTTTCCAATAGAAAATAGTCGTTGGCTTTCGCCTGCACGAGAAGATAATTCAAGATATTCAAAGATAATTGTAATATAAAGGCAAAGATGACTAATGTTTAAAGAATAATTTTTAAAANAAAAAAAAAAATGTTCTGAAAACAGATTTTATTGATAAAAAGTAAATTGTATTATTTTAATTTTTTTTCTTATTAAAATATTATTTTAATCGTTTATAAATAAATAAAAAAATCCTAAAATTAAATAAACTTTCGTATAATCTATTTATTAAAAATTCAAAAACAATATTGACAAATTAAAAGAGGAAGAGCTTTTGTTCACTTTCACATTTTATCATTATAATTAATATTAAGCAGATAATCAGCTTTTGTTCCTTTATTTTCTAATAAACAACAGCTTAAACAATCGCCACTAAACGAAAAAAATAAATAAATAAATTTATTAAGAATTTAAAACTTGAAAAATATTTTAGATTTGATAAATTTCTTTACTTTAAATTAATAATAATAATAAAAAAAATCACAATACTGAAAACATAAGTTTGAAGAATGTTTGGAATATTAAAGAATTAATTTTTCCTTTCAAGTTAAATGACTTTTAAATATAAATTTAAATAGAAAATGCCTAAAATTGGCAATACCCAATGAAAGATTACAACTTAAAATAACCAATTCTGGTTAAAAATGTAGGCCTTAGACAGACCTAGACAAAATATAGTGCAAGAGATCTGGCTTTGCTCCAAACAGATAAGGACAAGTAAAGTTTGTAAAGATTTTAAAATTCTTAAAATAAAGGTTTAATAGAAATAAAATAGCCTGAAAATTGCCTATTTTGAATGTCTAAACTGAGGGAGTTTTTTTTGTTATTGTATTTTTCCGAAAACGGAATAGAATGACTCTTTATTATGAAAAGTCTCGATGGATTATTGTGCATTTTTTAGATACACATCTTCATTAAGCTTAATTGATGCATAAGTTATATTCATTGTAAGCTTTAATGAAATGCGTGCAAAAAGTTGATTAGCGTTAATGAAGTTTCTGTGACACGTCAATGAGCCTTCTTTTTTTTAATGGGGTACACACGGTCGTGTTCCCCTCTCGAATATCAGAACATTGATGGATCAGAACAAATTAAAAAAGAATACAGTCTATTATAAAGAAGACAAATAAAAATTGTTAATATTATAAAAACAACCCTTTACAGGTAAAAAAAAATAAATAAATAAAAATGTAGTAAGTCCGTAAATCGAACAAAACTACTTCTTCTTTTTGTTTTTTAAGTTAATCGTTATTAAAAATTAATTTAAAAATTAAACGAGAGCTTTAAAATTTTCTCAATATTAGCTTTGATGTAGCAGCTGCATGCAACAATACTCCACTTCCTGTAGCTCTGTGGGGGCGTCGAAGAGACCTGGAAACCCTGGCACTGGGGACCACAGCCAATTAGTGTCTGCATCTAGTGAAGCAAGAGCAATAGTGTCGCACCACTTGTGACAATGTGACGTAGAAACGTATGGTCATTACTAGATCTGTTCTATAGTCGTCGACCTACACTTTCCTGTCACGTGACTGGTTGTCCAGACTTTCGCTAATTATTATGTTCTCGGACCACACTCGGATACTACGTTCTCAGAGAGAAGTTAATGGTCATTTTAGTTAACAGATTTCTGATTTTCGTAATTATCAAAACAGTTTCGAATTAATTCGATAAATAATTAATGAAAAATTAATATTAAAAATTAAATTAAATTTTAAAAAAATCATTAAAATCATTTAAATAACAGATATGGAAAATATTTGATAATTTAAATTTTATAGAGATATTTAAAATTTTAAAATTTTATAGAGCTTAATTAAAATATTTTAAATATTCCATAATTGCAATTAAAATATTCAAGATTTATATATTAATAGAAAAAATTATAAAAAATAATTTAATACAGATTTACGAAACGATAAATTAAAAACATTTTCTTTACGCTTCTGATTCATACGAGGATAGAAAATTTTCTCATACACCCTTTAAAATGATGGAAATTTATATCCCAACAATTTTCCAACTTAATCAAAACGATATGCCATATTAGAACAATTATGCAAATCATAGCTTAGATAATTATTAAAATATTTTAACTTTGATAAATATTAAGTAGATAAGACGAAAGTAAAATTTATTAAGCGAATGGAAGTTAAATGGAAAGCGAGTGAAATTCAGACAAACAACTGCACTCTGCCATCTGTCCAGTGCAACATCACTTCTCAACCAACACGGCAGCCAGTATTGACACCGAGAATTTCGCAGAAAGAGACACAAGCGGTCGATCAAGTCCAGTCCGATGGCTAATGTCCACTCCAGACGGGGCTTTACTTTTTCCTTGAATCGTCGCGATCGGTAAGAGAAGCGAGAGATTCAGGTTGTCACGCCGTTTCATCGATCGTAGAGAAGAGGACCGAAATCTTTTAAGTGCGCCTGTTTATGGCTAGAAAATTGACTTAGAAGCCGTTGGACAGCTGGTCGAATTGCAACTAAATGGACGACTGAAGCAGCAGGATATTTCGAGTCGACTTAATATAGCAGGTGTCGACCAGACTGCAGGGTCAGTTATTTTCTATTGTCGAAAAAGATATCGTTTCGTGTGCCGGACGAAGAAAGGAAAATTTATACCGTATGCCAGTAAAAACGGGTCGAAAGAACAAGCTATTTATTTTCAACTTTACAGCTTTGGCTAGTATCGGTATCGCATCAGCGGTTGAAGTTTTTCGTGTTAGAGGAATGTTTCCAATTTGAGAATTGAAGTGGCGTGTTTAGTGGTATACGTTTCTAAATTAATCTAGTTCGCGTCAAAGTTTTTTTTTTAAAAAAGTTGTTATGGGGAGTGTGTATGTGTGTATGTGTGTTTGTATCGATCCTGGCAATTACCGTGAACGATCCGTAGAGTGATATAGTAGTTAATTCGAGCGCAAATATCGAAAACGTTTCGACTTCCTCGTCTATATTCCCGGTAAGCGATCTCGGCTCCGGACTGTACAATTAACCGGTCACGATTCACCTATGTGACGACTTAATTGCCAACCGCACCGACCCTTCTGCAACGAGCATGCGCCGTAGACGACAGTCGGCAAAGCGCTGCGACCTCCGTCCAGATCGACAGTAGAAGGTTTGGCTATCGCCACAAGCACGGGTGTACTGTCGACTACGAGAGGATTTCTTGTGGGCCACGCTTAAACGTCACTCGGTCACGTATGTAATCGACTGACGCGTACAAGTCCTCCGATGTAATATTTATATAGCAGGAGATTCGTGCGATCGAAACTCCTGTGCCATCAAGTGATTCGGAATTAATTGTAGTGCATTTAAATTAAGACATTACGTGCAAGCAACGCTCAGTCCTTCTATCGATCGCCGTGAGAGAACGACGACGGTTCGCTCAGCCGCCGACCAACTCAGTAGAGGATCGGACAGAGCGCCGTTGAGATGTCTGTTCGACCGGGCGAAAAGCCACTGACTACAGTCAGAACGTGGCACCCGCACGTGTACGGCAAGCCACCTCGACAACCAACTCCTCATTTTATCGTCGATATACTGGGTATGAGAGAAAAAGCACGATCTACCGTGGTACTCAATGGTGCCCGAACGTGTTATCAGCCCGAAGAGATGGAACACAGACTGCTGGACCAACCTCTTAACTTATCCTGTGGCGAAAGGACTGTTTCGCCATCCAGGACTACAGACTTTAAGGGAAACAAAACGCCCGATACTGTACCTCCGATATCACCGGTCGCATCTCCTGCCCTGTTGTGCCAGAGATCTTTCTATCCGACGGAAAATGCGGGAGGTGGTGGAAAAGATGCGAAATTCACTCAAGTCAATGCGAAAGATAACGATCCACAAGCCAAGAAAAGTAAGTAGGTTACTATTAAATTTTTTTTTTATTTACAAAAATGCAAAACGTCAAATGTCATCATGTGTGGTATATTAGACCGGTTACGAGGCTAAGTGGGGGTGTCCGTGGAGCGGATGACGTCAGGCATGTTATCAAACAAAGGGACAGTCGAAGCGGAAGCAATCGGTGACATTTCCTGGCTGTTCTTCCAATACTTACCATTGATCATGCCACCGATCTGTACATCTAGAAACTGGAATATTAACCGAAGCATGCAACAACAATTTATTGCCGCTTACGGGAGAAAGAAAGAGAAAGAGCTAGAACCATTCTCAAAATCGCATACAATAATTCAGCCTAACTTTCTCTCCTATCTATTATTATGCCAGCACAAAAAGACCTATTACTAGTGTAGTTTTAAACGGGAGAAGGAGCACTTAAAATAGTTTGATTAATTGGGCGAAAGTCTTTCTTGGGTTCCGAAATCATAATATGGAGCAGAACTGATTGCTTGGCATGAAAAGACCAACCGAGTGGTTGCTGAGAGAAATATTGATTGAATAGTAGGGACGGTTCCCCCGCCCTGGTATACCCTCATCTGTCTAGCTCTAAATAGACAGTTCTCTCTCTATGGCAAAGCTATTAATAGTCGGTTATGTTACCGAGAAGTTTCGTAACGCGTCTAGACCGAAGGATCTTAACAAGTGTTATTTTTTTAAATTGCTAATTCCTGCAATTGTTAAGTGCTTGGTATATTTTCGTTCGAGCGTGATTATGAACGTAATTTGTGAAAGAGGAGAGTCACTAACACGCACGTAAGCGAACGGTAAACATTCATACTTCGATCCAATCAACTTAAAACCAAATTCGATAACGGAAAAGTAGAACAAGATGAATAAAATGATTTTACCTAGTCAACAATTAACAGATTATTTCAATTTATAGTCGCGTGCTGTGGAGATATGAAAAGTAATTGCTAAAAGTTTCATGACACGATTTTAATAGGGAAGTATGCAAAATAATCTTTTGTTTATCGTTATTATTCAAGGCCTTTGAGATCTTATCAGTTGTATGAATCGTAGGCTAGAAATATATATATAACTAGTTGTATATAACCCTAACTTTGTCTATTAAGCAGAAGAGATGAACTTTATATTCTTAACGACAAACGTTTTAAACTCCAGTCGACTTGAATTGGTCATTGTTTCTAAATGACGTACAGTCACGCAGATTAAATTCTGTCAAATGACAATTTAATGTGTCTTAAATAGACTGCCAGACAAATTTAGACTTTATCTCTTCTCGATATACAAATATTAAAAAAAATTTTAAATGAAAAAGCTATCTTCTTCGATATTGGAATGTAGCTTTTAAGAAATAGAAGGAGAGAGAGAGAGAGCAATCGTTTACCATTTTAACAAGAAAATTATTCTGATATTTAAGCATAGTCTATAGCTAAAGAAGGTTGTAGAAAAATATATTGTTTCGCTCACGAAACTTATTCCGCCGTTCTGAGAAGTAATAACAGTGCATCGGATGAACTAAGTTTGTTACAAAGTGTTTTATCTCCGCCTACAGAATCATTTTCCACAATCGTTTGCTGTCTAACGATATTTGAAGTGATGGTACTACAGCATTGAAAAACGAAAAGAATGTTTCTCTTTTGATCAAAATGGCCTCATTCGTCAAAGCAGTCAGAAAAAGTCTTGTCTTCATCTCTACTGTTTTTCCATTTTGGTTTTCCATCGGTCACGATACATCGCGATATTTATTTCTTCCTTTTAAAGAAATTAGAAGTCTACATCTATATAAACAATATTTTAAAAACGAGAAAAAAAAGTATAAAGAAATAGGAAAAAAAAAGAGAAGCAAAAGCTAGAATATATACTGTATATATATATATAAAAAAGCAGCACTTAGAAGTCTTCCACTTATTTTCCAGATTAGATAAGTGGCAATGGAAGAAGTCTCCAGGCTACAATCTATTTTATAGGCTTGGACCGGACGAATTTGGGGTGACGAAGTTAATGCAAGCATTAGTTTGACGCAAGATGTGCGAAGGATCGTCACTATCCTGACATATAGGCCTATTTCCAGTCGTTTACATTCGAACAACGTCACTCGGAGATTGACGATCTAACTAGAAGTAGATAGGACTAGTTGGGCACAAGACTAGCTAATGCCTGTCTCTAAATGTGCAATTCTGTACGTTTCAGAATGGAAAATTTTCTCGACGTTCTTAAAAAATACTCAATTATGATTTCCTGGAGCAAAAAGTTTCAAAAAANTTCATTAATTTAAAAATTGTTTTTAATCAGAAAACAATGTTTAGAAAGATTCATCACTCGTTGATTGATAAAAATTTTTAATTATCTTCTACAATTTGACACATTTTAAATTTATTAAGCATAACAAATTACTAAAAGAAATTCAGTAATCACGAAGTAGGCTATCTGACACCTTGTCGGCAATCTTTGCATATTTATACCCTTCGACACTTCAACTTTTCTTTCATAAGAATATTCATGTGATTTCTAGTCCATCTGGCCGTACTTGGGGGTGGTTGTAGAGTACGTGACTCGAACGAGTTTACAAAGGTATTAGGGACATTGCAAATACCGGACATTAAATCTTCCCGTGATTTACAAACAGTCTTTTGTTTGGCCACCCGTCAAAATATTTGTACAGCAAACATTATGGTACAAATGAAACTATTGAGTGTAAAAAAGACTCTTAAAAATATTTGTAACCATATGCTTATTTGTAATACAAATAAATTCTCTCACTAACTTAATCATTTAGACGTTCTCATTTTACATACTTAGACTCGGTTCCTTTGTAAATGCAACTCAGCTATTAATGGAGCTTCAGTAAACACTTTCTCCCTTCTTACAAGTTTTATTCACTAATTTTATAATAGAGATCTTCACCGCTCGTCTGAAGAGCCTTTTTTTTCCTTGTTTTTTTAATCAAAGCTCATCAAAATTCTAATTCTATTCATAATAAAGTGGGCCTAAATACAGATTTTTAACTTATATCATATGTTATCTTTCGAAATTGGTTAAGAGATTATAATATTATTTATATAGGCCAATAAAATTTAATTCAGAATTAAACTCCTTCACTTATACATATATATATTCTATCTAGTTATGATATGGCGTAAATTTCTTTTAGTGAATTCAGAGTCCCTTAGGCCTCTTTGTGGTATACTTTCACAAGCGCACTGTCAAGAGGTAATGATATTAATATCAATAGGCACTTTTGACACAATAAATAGACCTATCCCACATCAGATTACTGTAGGAAATAGGAGAAAAAGACTTTTATTACAGGACCCATGCGGCTTCTGTTTAGTACCGCTTGGCTACGCATGCTCGAGACTGCAAAAACCTTTCTCGGCACCCTTCCTGAGGGTGCATATTGATGGGAATATAGCCTATTGGCGATACACCAGGCCTTCATTTTCCCCTGTCCACTTAGGAGGTGTAACAGTGTATTTCACAGATGTGACGATGCATACTGTTCCATCCTTCATCGAGCTTTGTTAGCAATTCTTATAGAATATGTGCCATGTTAACAGGTGGCGTGACTTCGCACTAAATGCAGGAAATGCCGAACTTTCGATATTTTTTTTTAATACTTCGTATTGTAGTTATTGGCTATAATGTGTTTAGAGAATAATTTAACCGAAGCAGACAGACTATTAATAATAATTGTGTGAAGAAATATTTGAATATATAGGCCTATATACATATATATTCTTGTCCGGTAGTTTAATAATTTAGTTTTTCTGAATTTTTTGTTGAAAAAATTTATATAAAAGATATTAGTATAATATAGTTTAATATTTTAATAATTCGAATTCAAATCGAAACGATTAAACAGCATTGAAAACTTTGTAAACCGTCAATTATTGCTCGTCTGCCGTATGTAATATATCAGCCCGATTAGCTTAACAGCTTGATTTTTCTAACATGCTTTTTTTTATTTTAATTGAAAATTTTAGTAGAAAATACACCAGATTAATCTATTTTTACAATTTTAATAATTGTGCAATTAATGTGCTTAATAGGAAGCTTCATAAATCATCAATTGATGATCAATTCGTATATAAAATAGTAGTCTGATTAGCTTAACAATTTAATGTTTTCTAACTTTTTATTTTGGTTGAAAAATTAGTATCAAAGATATTAGATTACTTTATTTCATAATTTTAATAATTCTAGCGTAATTGATGCGTTTAAAGAATACAGAGAGCTTCACAAACCGTCAATAAATGAAAGTCTTACGCATGTAAAATACTCTTATTACACAACTAGTTTAAAAAAGGCAACTAATTTAAGAGAAAAAAAGAAAAACAACCCTTTCAAATAAAACTGATTTAACTTGAGTAGACCTATTACGGTCCATTGCCAAATCATAGTTAAACGTAGAACAACATCGACTAGAGACGAAAGAGAGAGAGAGAGAGAGAGAGAGAAAGAGAAAGAGAGAGGAACTAAGATTACTGCAGAGCAAGTCAATTTAGAAACATTGCTTTACTTCTCTCTCTTTGTTACCAGATCCTATTTGCAAGAGTCGGTCAAATATATTGTAATCGCTTTATATTCTCTTCAGAGTAATTACTCTATGTGTCGGCTAGTTAAAAGTAAAAGGAAAAAATCCATTTAGATAAAGGTTGTGTTTTGATGACACAACAGGTGGATGGATAATTTATATATTAAAATTACATCTATTGTAGAAAGTGAAAGCAGAAAAAAGTTTGATTGAAAATTCTCTTTCGGTTATATAATGCCATCATTTTATATATAATATTTTAAAATTGCTTTAGATTAAACAATTAAATCAAAGAGAGGAAAATAATTTGATTTATTTGAAGAAAACTCTTTAATAAAGCCGGACTCTTTATATTAAACTTTTTTTTTCTTTTACCTTCTTCTTCTTCTTCTTCTTCTTTCCTCGAGTTAAAATAAAATTTGAAAGAGTCGACATTAATAGAAAATTCGTTATAACAT